CCCCTCCCCTCCATCAATCCATCCATCCATCCATCCATCCATCCATCCATCCATCCATCCACCCATCCACTCAACGCAACCCCTCTACAAAACCACTCTGCACAACTTTCTGATACGCAGGGGATAATCCCGTTTATAAACTGTACAACAAGCCATTCTATAAACCCTTCGACAAGCCCCTCTTACAAACACGCCCGTAAACCGCCCGTAAACTTCACGACATAAGCAAGCCATTCTTAAAGCCCGTTTGCAAATCCTCCTCTAAACTTCTCTATACATACACTCTACTTTTACCCCTCCAGCATCCTTGTGTAACTAGCTACCATAAACAAACCCTCGACCAAAACACTCTACCCCACGACCAACATGCTTAATGGCATGTACGGCGGGATCCAGGCATTCCGAGGCGACAATGAACACGGCACTTCACTACACATGCAGCGCCTGGAGACGCCCGTATCACCGATTGGGTGTTGTCATGTTGAGGCCAACATGAGACCAATGCAGTGGAATTTGCAATGAATCGCGGTTTGCGGGCGACGAGCTTCTCGAGCTCGAACCGTGGCGGCACCGCACGTGCAGCATGTCAGGAGAGGGAGAGGGTTGTCAGATCCGAGCTCGAATCGTTCCGGCGCCATGTGCCGCACCATTCTAGGGGGTGCAGCGAGGACTTCACGAAGACCTCACATCATATCCATCCTAATTATAGAAACCACCTGCACGGCAAAGCACTTCCCAATGATGCGGGGAAAACATAACATGGAAGGTAAACAGCCATAAGCACAGGAACACAGCAAGGCACGTGAGCACGGAAGGTAAGACAAGACAAGGGCACCCATATCTCCGGGATGACAGTTGACAAGGATCCGCAGGTCCAAAAACAACATTTGTCACGAGGGGCGAGGACACATACGCACACACAAGTGGGCAGAAGTGCACAAGCATAGTATGTGAGCATCCTAACAAGCCCGACCCGCCGCAGCCACGCCCACCCGCAAACCCGGAGTAGATGTGTGTGTGCAAAGTAATTAGCAAATGCGAGGGCCTAGTATGGCCTAGTTACTACAAGCATAGCTGCGCACCCGTGGATTTAAAGTGGGCAGTGGGACCTGATAACGCTTCCGTTTGCGTTTTTTTTTTAAATTTTTTATGTCTTGCCGAAGCTGCTTCCACGGTGGCTCAGGTTCGAGGGTCCTTGAAGCGTTACGGGCTTTGCATCGCTGCACGTTCAAACATTCAGGAGTTTGACGAGGCTCTTATCACGGCTTTGAATTACTGCTCCACATGCGCTTGACAGGGTTCCTGAACTGTGACTCTCGCCCGAGGTTAAGTGCCGTGAGCCGACACATCCTCACCAACCTGCCCCACAGCCTTGCCGCCCGGGCTTTGAATGTGACGGTCACGTGAGGTTTCGCATGGCGTTTCACAAGTAGCACTGGTTCTGCCAGGGCTGATGGTGGTTTGTCTTTCAGAGGATAACTTCTTCAGCCAGGACTCTGCTGTAAGTGTCCGTATCTCTCCGTGTCACATTCATCCGACACACGCTGAGCCGGACTCGCCGCTGCACGGGAAGCTTCTGTCTCACTCGAAGCAGCATAGCCAAGGAAACCGCTACACAGTTTCGTAAACCACTCCGAGGCATAGGTTGCACATTCTGCGACGGTACTATGATTGCATACGTGGCGCACTACAGAGTGTCCATTACCCGCTCGCTCTAAGGTTATATTCTTGTGCATTGCTTGTTGGAGAAATGTCACCTTTATATATATATATACATACCAAAGTATGGCCTTTTCTGCACATGGTCGTATCTTGTCACAAGCTGCGGTCCAATACTCAATGGTCGCAGCAGCACATGACATTGCTTAAAATCTTGCCGTCTATTGCAGCTGTAGTCTTTCGAAGGAATGTGTCATGGGTCTCACAGCCGGTTTCCGAATTGCTAAGCCTTGTCTACTCTTTTTTCGAACGCACAAGCCCCGCATGTTTTTCGATCCTCTAAGTTCGGACACTTCGACGCTTTCATTGCGAGTGTGGGACTCTGCAAGCTCTCTAGTGCCACTTGTTGTGAGGTGGAGGCAATCATTCAGCGTGACGATGGCGAGGCATCTTGGCATATGGTTTGGTACGCACATTAGCAATTAGGTACAAACGGACCTTACATACAATAGTTTTAGGCTCAGGTTTCGGCAGGCACGCTTCCATTTGTCTGCACAGTTTTAGGTTTTATCAGGGGACACAAAAGTCAGACAGAAAGCGTTAACACAACAGACTACCAACTACAATACCACTCACGTTTACATGCTCATGCTGCCTCCGTCTCTCGCTTTTTGTTGTGTGTGTGGATGCACATATACGCACACACACAGAGACACAGTCAACAAACCGGCCCAAAGACCTACGAATTCATCCAAGTCCTCACATGTACCCTTTTGAAAAGAGCCCAGCTCCGATATGACAGTCCTGGGTAACATGGATCGAGCGACAGTTGGGCGGCATCAGTGCATGACTACCTATAGATAGGTCCCTTCAAAGCCCGCCAGGTATTCTTGTGGGAGGAATACGTCGAGTTGGCCGACGGCAGTCCAGATGCAAAGCGAGGCTACAACAGGATGCAGGCCTGTCGAAGCGGGCAAAGGGTGTTGTTGGCTTGAGTCCGAATGAATGAGTGAATGAATGAATGAATGAATTAACGAAATGAATGAAATGAATGAAAATGAATGAAATGAATGAAATGAATGAAATGAATGAAATGAATGAATGAACGGAATGAATGAACGGAATGAATGAACTGAATGAATGAAATGAATGAATGAATGAGTAACTGAAATGAATGAAATGAATGAATGAACGAGTGAATGAAATAATGAATGAAATAATGAATGAAATAACGAATGAAATAATGAAAAAATAATGAATGAAATAGTGAAATGAATGAAATGAATGAATGAAATGAAATGAATTGAATTGAATGGAATGGAATGGATGAATGAATGAATGAAGGAATAAATGAATGAGTGAGTGTGTGTGTGTGTGTTTGTGTGTGGGTCTTGCCTTCCTGCAAAAGTTAGGACGTGCTCCGGCTTTTTGCTTTCACGTGTGTTGTACGGGCAGCTTGGTTTCCTGACGGCTGTCCTCAGCGCATCCTTTGGGAAGCCTTGAGCATGGGCCTGATACGCCTGCAGCTTTACAGCTCGTTTTTCAGGCAGATCGTGACCCTTGTGAGACAGCATGGCTCGCCGAGTGCCCCAGCTGCTGACCTTCGGCCTCTTAGCGGCGCTCTTCGTGTGGAACACGGCATTCCTCCAGGTCGAGGCACCGACCCCCAAGCAGACGGTCCCGGTCGCTGCAGCAGCAGCGTTGTCAGCAGCTCCCTTGCCAGCTCTCGCGGGCGAGCCTCCAAGCGTGGGCATTCACTGGTACTGGGACCTGGGCATCGGCACGATCCACGGCGAGACCGCCAGCATTATCATCTGGGTGTTCCTGGTTTGCACCATCTTTGCTTTGGCCGGAGCAGGCGGCAGCAGCCGCAAGAGTGCAGCGTAGAGATGCAGATTGCAACACGTCAGGCCAGGCGGTCCAGTGTGCAAAAAAGGGTGCGGCATGGTGCGGCATATGCAGGGGTATGTATGCTGTAAGTTGCGGAAGTTGCATAGGCGGAGCTGAATGATGGCACCTCGATGGTCGTTTGTCACAGACAGGGCGTCCAGCGCGCATTTGTCCAGCGCGCATTTGACGCATGCATGCAGTGTTTGTTTTGCACGGCCGACCGAACTGCTATAGGATGTTCCGAGCACATGCATCTCGCTGCTTGGCCGTGAACATACTCAACGTCTTGTAGCCTTGTCTTAAAGGAAGCCCAGGCTACGAAACCCTTGTGAGACAGCATGGCTCGCCGAGCGCCCCAGCTGCTGACCTTCGGCCTCTTAGCGGCGCTCTTCGTGTGGAACACGGCATTCCTCCAGGTCGAGGCACCGACCCCCAAGCAGACGGTCCCGGTCGCTGCAGCAGCAGCGTTGTCAGCAGCTCCCTTGCCAGCTCTCGCGGGCGAGCCTCCAAGCGTGGGCATTCACTGGTACTGGGACCTGGGCATCGGCACGATCCACGGCGAGACTGCCAGCATTATCATCTGGGTGTTCCTGGTTTGCACCATCTTTGCTTTGGCCGGAGCAGGCGGCAGCAGCCGCAAGAGTGCAGCGTAGGGTCCGAGCTTTCTTAGAGGGAACTGAGGCACCAGCTGTGTGCGTGCAGGCAAGCCAATTTTTCGGAAAAAGGAGCCGCCTGCAGCAGCATCTGGTCTGACCGACGCAAGGTGCCCGCAGCTTGAAACCCAACGTTTCCCCACTCAGCAGGACTCTGCAAGCTTCTTGGAGGAGAAGCCGGTGCCTGAGGCTTTGGATGCCGAGGGCATCCCGAAGATGCTCGGATGCACCAGAGGGGCAGAGCAGCGGAATTGGGGTTCAGTTGTTCAGGCCACATGACAGGATGTCGGGAGTACGAGTCCTGATGGCGTTATGTGTTGAATTACTCACAAAAAATTCCGGCCTGGGTTCACGTGTTTTCTTAATTCATGATTGTGTCTTTTCTCTCGCGTCAAACAGGCAGTCACATATTCATGTAGGAACATGCTCGCACCAGCAACTGAAGGCTTGTTATTCCGAGCAGCTGCCAGGCAAGGGATCACACTGGCCACTTGGAGCCCGGATGAGCATTTCTTGGCCACGAAGCACGAGTCTTTCCCTTGTGCCGTGGTCCGCACGTCTGAGTTCAGGTCCAAGCTTGTCACGAACATGAACCGAAATCAGCATTCGGACAGAGGCTCTTGCGGTCTTCAAGCATGTGTTTCTGTGTTTCCTGTCCATGAGCTTCTTTCACGCTGGGCCAGGATGCACGGAGCTGTCACTGTTAGTTGAGCTCTTACCCTTTCGTGTGAACAGAGAGGGCCACTCGGACGAGAGTCTGGGGGAGTAAATGTGGCCCAACGGTTAGGGCCTGTTCAGGTGCGATCTGGATTTGGGATCTTGGGCGACTCGTGCTTCACTCGGTGCTGAGGCTGAGCTGCTCTATCTTTTTGCAGGTTGACATTGCTCAAAGCCCTATATGTCCTTGGAGCCTTTATTCCCATACAAGATCAGGGTTTGGTTCCGTCTCTGGTTGTCGACTGTGCTCATGCCCGAATCTGAAGCTAGACAGGCGTTGCACTTCCGGGCGTTGAACTGAATAGGATCCGCTATATCACTGACAAGCCGGCGACAATGAGACTAATTTAGCAGGGCACCAACAGTAGTCGCAACCTCAGCAAGCCGTGATATAACACGAACTGACTGACTGACTGACTGACTGACTGACTGACTGACTGACTGACTGACTGACTGACTGACTGACTGACTGACTGACTGACTGACTGACTCTGACTGACTCTGACTGACTCTGACTGACTCTGACTGACTGACTGACTGACTCACTCACTCACTCACTCACTCACTGGCTCACTCACT